AAGAATTTAAGATGTGGAGGAAAGATTAGACCAGTGTGACACCCTTGTGAAGTCCCACCATAATACAGTATTCCACATTATAGTAATCTCAGTAAAGAGACTATCAGGCCATTATAGGACCATCGAGAAGACAGTCATTTCCAATCCAGGAACTATCCCCTGACAGATTAGCCCAGAGGAAGCAGGAGTGGAGACAGCGAGGTTCAGAGCTGAGCCTGCAAGCACTGACTCCACCAGCAACAACCACAAATTAATCAAGAGTCATGGGGACCCCTGGGATGGCAAGAACAGTTGTTGCCTCACCAACCTCTGCCATAACCCAGCCAGAAAATTTGAGATCATTGTGGCTACACCGATAATTCTGAGATGCAGAAGATGATGGTCCAAGGAGGGAGCCTGCCTGACTGACTCTGAGAACAATAAGGGGAGTGGTAGCATTGCAGACTCTACAGGAGAAACTGTCCAAGTAAAAGGGCTGTGCCCAAACTCATTAAAACGAGCACCCTAAGGCTCTCCCCCCTCTAATACTAGCCTACTGCAGGAATGGTGAATGGAAAGAGAAATATCAGAGACAATTACAAAAAAACAAGATTTTGGAGGTTCTTGCTGAAAAGCCTGGGAAAGAAGTACACACAACCCTAAGCATCTTCCTCCAACCCAAAATCCACGGATCATCTCCCAGGTCCTCTTAATTTATCATTCTCCTGGATACTCTGTACATTCAAAAAAAAGTTGTACAGGGGGGAGGAGGGAGGAGGGGACGGGTATTTGTATACACAAGGAGTGCAATGCGCACTACCCGAAGGATGGACATATTTGAAACACGGACTTCGGGGCGGGGGGGAACCAAGGGCAACACACGTAACCTAAACATCTGTACACCCATAATTTGCTGAAATAAAAAAAAAAGTTGTACAGAGTACACTATTTCAAAATGGAACTATTGCCTTAGGAGTTAAAGCAAGAGTATAGTAAAGTGAATCAAGTTGAAAGTAATCCTTTCAAATTACTTCATAAATGTTGGATGTAAGCTAGTAGTAGTTAAACTTTAAATTTAGAAAATTTGGTCATTCAGAAACATTAAATAGAGAAGTGGGTAGAGCTTATTGCAAGGGCAACCACAGAGTGAGCTCCAGCCTGCTTCAGAAAAATGGGCCAATGCCCTAAAAGGACGCACTGTGCCTACTCTATGGCCCTGCTGCTCAATCTGATGCAAGATGGCATGTGCCCATGCCATCAGCTGTCCCTTCCCATGGTATTTCTTCACAAGAGACTTCAACATTTATGGAAGCTTATAGGTGGTGTATCCCTACCTGGCAACATGAGGGTTAAAACAACTTTTATATACTTTTATATACATGCTCAATCAAGAAAGACACAGCTATTACTCAAAGAACAAGAAACAGCCTGGCAGCAAGTTGAAAGAATAGAAAAAAGTGCTATCTACACAAAGCAGACCATAACCAAAATCTATAACAGATGTTAACCTGTAATGTATTTAGGAGAATTTAGAGGAAGTATAAGATTTATTGTTTGCCCAAATAAACATATAGCCAATGACAATATACCCATCAATTACCCATCAAATGGTTACATGGCAGTAGTAGGTATAATACAATTATAGGAATACCAACATTTATTAAGAACCGAGAAAATGTGGCATTTTACATTTAGTACCATATTTAATTCTTTTAAAAAATCCCTGTGCTGTATCATTCTTTATATTTTATAGATGCAGTAAATAAGGCTGAGGACTTAAGAAATTTTCTGAAGGTCAAATAGATGATTAAGTGGCAGAACCAGGATTCGCGCTTGCCCCATCTAACTGCAAAGGACTGCATGCCTCGAACTTCAAAGTGAATAATGGCACAGATAATAAATGTTTCAGGAACTCAGAAAAGGGATCATCCTATGCATTATAGTGGCTAAGGAATCACTGTCATCATTAAAATGCCAGTGATTCCACATCAGGTCTAACTATTCCTTCCCACTAACTGTGAACCTTAAACAAGACTCCATCCAACCTCTACTCGAGTATCCCCAGCAATCTGGAAATCGCTTACCTCCACTGACCACACATTCATATTGTAACAACCGCTTATTGGTAAATGCATTCTTATGCATAGTCAACAGCTGCTTCCAAAGATGCTATAGAATTATGTCTAGAGGCTCCCTGGACAGAAGTCATGTCCAGACTACACCATAAGATGGTCTAGCAAAGTTCCCATTGCCCCTTGGTTGGCCCAGACGCTGTAGGCAGCACCAGACACCTGAATCATTATCAATTCTTCCCGCAAAGCCAGACCCCTCTGCCACTCACCCTCACTAGAAAAATTAATTCCACATGCTACTTTTAATTCCCTTATGGTACTCCCTTCTAAATCAGATTTTACACCTGTTCATCTGATTGACACAGTCTGGGTCACCCTAGATGCAAGAGAAACTGGGAATGGCAGTTCATGGATTCTACTATAGGGAGATAAGAATTATAATTGGGAATTTCTCTAATGCAGGAACAGTGTTCAAAAGATATTAAGGAACAACATATATGGCAAATGTCCACCACAATCCATCATTTGGCTGCCCAGCATCATTATGTATTCTTTTCCCATACTTAAACTTCCTAAAAACAAAAATTCTCCCCCTGGACGTAATTCTCACTATCTTGTATACAAAGGATATGAGACTTGAGTCCCCAGAACTGAAATAATCTGTTTCATCAGGCATTGCTTTCAACCCCCAGTTCTGTATCTCTGGATGATATCCATTCCACACTTCCAACTTGATATTCTATAGACTCCCAACTTGATACCTGTAGACTAAACTGTAAAGTTCACTACCAACATACTATATGCAAAATAGCAGAAGGACAAAAGACAGAGAAAAAGGAAATCTCTTAAAATACACAAGTGCACACATGACAGAGCAAGGAAGAAAATGTGAGCAGACAGTGCAGCCATCATTTCTGAAATTTGTCCTCTGGCTGGAGCTGTACCTATTCTGTTTCCTCACCCTCATCCAGGCAGATGAAACAAAACTTCAGTCTCAATGGATCTGAACCGTGAAGCTGTGGGGCTATCATACTAGCCCTGGACTTGCTACTTCTCAATTTCTCATGACATGAATGAAAAACAGAACCCCTTTATTTGTGTAAGTCTCTGCTTCATGGTCTAATTGATGCAGGGCCACAGGATGAAACTTCTCCAGCTCCAGATTCTCCTCTGTTCTGCCAGTGGTAGAATGCCAAGAGAAAGGCTACCGGCTTCAACAAATAAAAATACAGGACTCCCAGTTAAATTCCAATTTCAGATAAAAATAATTTTTTACTATAATTATGTCTCATTCCATATTTGGGAGATACTTATACTAAAAAAAATGATTTGTTGTTCATGAGAAATACAAATTTAACTGAGCATTCTGTTATTTTATCTGGCAACCTAAAAAGGGTAGAAAGTAGTACAGGGACTCCTAAGATTCCCACATGTGAAAAGATATTAGGAATGTATGTAAATGTTTTATTTTAGAGAGGGTCATAGCTATAAATAGAACTTGGGAAATTAAGCTAAAAGGAACAGAAAACCCAGCCAGTATACACTAGGAATGGATCACTCCAGTCACAAGCCCAAACTGAGAGCAAGGGCATAGTGGAATGATGTGGAAAAGGTATTTATTCCCTACACATTCCCATCTCTGAAATAAATGCCTCATAAATCTCCAAAAGAAATGACACTGCATCATGTTACCCTGGTCTTCCCTAGACTCCATTCTCCAAGTCCAGGGAAAACAACAGATATGTGCTTGAAACCCAGTTCTGACAGTTATGAGTTATGTGATCTTGATCATGTTAATGTGTCTGAGTCTCAATTCTACATTTGTAAAGTAACAGTAATGGCATTTTCCAAGTTTGCTATAAAATTAAGAGCAAAACCTCAGATACTGATGTCTGTATATATTCTACTTTAGCAAAATCAAGCTCTATTCCTAAAGTGAGAATAGGAAACCCCAGTCCCCCTGGAGCAAATCATCCTCCTGCATCCATACTTTCCTCTCCATTGGTAGGATTCTATTTCTCTTTGGTGGTAGAGCAGAAAGAGCCCTGATTTGTAACCAAGAAAATCTAATTCTGAACCATAAGCCTTGATAGCCACATGAATAAAATTGAGGTAATAATATCTAATTTACAGCATTACTATTAAAGAAATAATATATCTAAGAGTTGTGACAATAAATGACATGCATAGGCTCTCAGAAAATGCTGATTCCAGTCCCATTTGCTCTTGTCATGATGTATATAAAGTCCTGTCCTGGGGTCTATTCCCTGCCCCCATCTACTCTCCTTAGATCTTTCTTCTTCCGCCAATGAACATTTGTGTAAGAGGAAGAAAGAGATCCAGATCGATGTTTTTCAAACTGCAGGTATCATCATTTGAGTGGTGTGTTGCTCAAGTTTTAACATGTAGTGGAATGGAATGGAATGGAAACTAACAGAAAGCATTGCACATCATTAGAATAAATATTGTTTCCTGAAACTTTTGATTCATTTGCATGTGTGTATGTGTTTGCTTATGTCCTCATACAAACATTTGTGTATGTATTGGGTCTTTTTGCAAAATGCATTCCCCACTGTGGGTCATAGCTATAAAAGTATACACGCTTCTGAATGCCTAAAGACTCTCCCCAAGCCATGTTTCTGATGGGCCTTTAACCAGCTTCCCTAACTGGGAAACACATGGTCCCCACATTTCTCAGCCACCTGCCACCCCAGATAAGGCACCATGGTTGAGAGCTCATCCTGGGAGCTAGGACTTGGGAGTTGGGGCCTCAAATTCACCTCTAGCAAAACAGAGGAAGATTGTGGGGGAGCTTCTGATGAGAAAGACAGCCAACTTAGAGTGAAAGAAGAAAATGTGACCACACAGTTCCTGTGGTTACCAGTCCTGCCCCTCCCCGCATATGCTTGGAAGTTATAAAACCCAAGACTGGAAAGTAAAACCAGCAGCTGCCCAGGCAGCCTTTCTGGGAAGATGCATCTCCATCCTCTCCCTCTGCTGCTCTTTCTCCTATGCTCCAGAGCTCAGGCTGGTGAGTATCGGGGTCCTTGCCTCTGTAGTCTGCAGGGTCAGCTCCTAAAACAAAGAAATTTAGTCTGAAAATAGCTGACTCTTGAACAGGATCCCAGGATCTCTCTTCAAGAGTTCCAGAGAGAAGTTTCCACCTGGGATATGCCCACCCATTCTCTGCAGCCTAGGGTATCTCCCAGGAGCAAGGAATCCTACATTGGTTGGGCAAAAGCCCAGAGCAAGTGGGAAAAAGAGGGGTATCTCTGGGAAAATGGACATGTTCTCTTTACCTTCTAAGCTTCAGGGCTACATATTACCTTGTGATTTGGTCCTTCTGTGGCACTGCTCATGGGCTGTGGAGAAAGCCAAGACAGGGACCTGGACAACTTGTCCTACATGGAGACAGAGGAGGGTGGGCCAGGGAAGGGTGGGAGTGGGGGAAATCCTAGTGAAATTGTCTGAATGGTAATGAAAGCAGGGTTAGCTGTTGTGCTGGGATGAAGGAATGTGAATTTCTGGGGTAGGTTGTGGGCGGGGAAAGCAGCCACAAGCAACATGAAAGGGAAAATGGGCAGGACAAAGAGTGAGGATGAGAGTCAAGGGAGCAACCCAACTTGCTCATTCTCTGGAGAGAGGATCAATGCTTGTGTTCAAACTCTGGGATCTCTGTTCCAGGGGAGATCATCGGGGGCACAGAGTGCAAGCCACACTCTCGCCCCTACATGGCCTACCTGGAAATTGTCAATTTCCAGGGTCAACAGGTGACTTGTGGTGGTTTCCTGATAAGTCAGAACTTTGTGTTGACGGCTGCTCACTGTGCAGGAAGGTGAGACAACAGGGTCCTTTTATCCCCAAATGGGAGACAACCAACCAGGGTAGCAACCAGGGATACACCTGCAGTGGGGCCTAAAGATGGGATCCTGGGCCTGAGTCAACTTACACAAGAGGCAAGGCTTGGACTTAAAAAAATTGCTCTCACAATTGAATGAGTGCCCTGAGCCTCAGTCACGGTGAGCTCAGCTCCCCTTCAGAGGAAAAGGAGACCCTGATCAAGGTACCTCCCCTAAAAGTACCCTGCTCATCCTTGCCCAACATATAAGACATATGACTCACTTTTCAAGGCCCCATCCAGTTCTCAGGGCCACTTCTTCTAAGCTGTATCAAGAACACTGGCCTTCAGTTCTCAGGGTCCTGAATCCATCCTTTCTATGGGAGGCAAAGAACAGGGTCCACATGAGACACCCCCACATACTTTCCCCTTTCCTCTGATACCTCCTGCATCAGAGGGCTGGCCCTCACATAGGGATCCCTGGTTCAGGAATTGCTAACCCTGTACCCTGAGTCTTCCATGGCCTGCTCATTCCCAGTAATTCCACAAACTCCTGGAAATTGTGTCTGTTCCCTGAAAAAGCTCTTCCCTGAGCAAAACCTGAGTCCCCAAATGCCATAAGCAGCCCAAGAAAAGGGAGATGGGTAGAGTCCAGTGACTCCAGTCCCCTTTTCTCAGAATGGGCACATCTCAAGAGAAACCCCAAGCCATCACTGCTTTTCCTTGTCCTTCCTTCTTCCTCACAACAGGTCTATAACAGTCACCCTTGGAGTTCATAACAGAAAAGAGAAAGAAAATACATGGCAGAAGCTTACAGTTGTAAAGCAATTCCCTCATCCAAAATATACTGGTGATATTTTTCTCCACGACATCATGTTACTGAAGGTGACAACATCTTTCTTCCCCTTTCCACTTCCTGCTCTCTTAAGCTTCTCTTCAAGTCACCATTGCACTGAAGTTTTGGTAGCACTTGCTCTATCGTGAAGCAGTTCACCCTGTCCCCTTTCCCCCCTCCACATCCCCCCCCATTGCCTCCGACTGCCTCAGTGCCCATTTCTGACACTGACAGTCCTCATTTCCTTCACAGTTGAAGAGGAAAGCCAACCTGACTCTGGCTGTGGGCACAGTCCCCCTCCCACCCAACTTCTACTCTGTCCCACCTGGGACAATGTGCTGGGTGGCTGGGTGGGGAAGAATGGGTGTCATGAAGCCGGGCTCAGACACTCTGCAAGAGGTGAAGCAGAGACTCATGGATCCCAAGGTCTGCAACTGCTTTGTAAATTTTGACCACAATCTCCAGCTGTGCGTGGGCAACCCCAGGAAGAAAAACTCTGCATTTGAGGTGATCCTCCAACCAGGGTTCTTCTCCACAAATCACTGTTCAGGGACCAGAATTCTCCTGGAAGGAGATGGGGTTAGAAGATTGTCAGCCAGTGTCAGGGTTTGAGATCACAGGACTGAGAAACTTGGAATTGTCCATCCTCCCATGGCCCAGGACAGTCTCTGACCATCCATCCCCATCTGCTGTACAGGGTGTGTGGGGTGACATGAAAAAATTGGGGTGGCTGCCCCAGGAATGGAAGAAGGGGCATCAGACCTAGACGTATAGCCTGAGGATCCAGTGCTCCTGAGTCTGAGTTAGGTCTGACTGTGACCCCAAGCTGGGACCCAAGGGCAGGAGGGGAGGACTTCCCTGGCTCACCTTGTGTTCTCTCTCTGTGCCACATAGGGAGACTCTGGGGGCCCTCTTCTCTGTGCTGGGGTGGCCCAGGGCATCGTGTCCTATGGACGGAAGGATGCAAAGCCCCCTTCTGTCTTCACCCGGATCTCTCATTACCGGCCCTGGATCAACAAGATCCTGAAGAAGAATTAACCCTGGAGCCTGGGCCGGCAAGAGAGAGTCTGGAACTGGATCTGAGCAGAGGAGTTTCTGTGTGCCACTCATTTTGGCCCACCTCTAGTCCCTTGGCCACATCTCTGAGCCTGCAGAAGATTCCTACAGGTCATACATCTCTCAATAAACCTCAATAAAGACCCAACTTCCAGTCATGAGTATGTGTCAACTATCTGGTGTTCTTTTCTTTTTAACATAGTGATCTGATTCCCAGCCCAAGCACCTACAGAATTTGAAAGGAATGTGTGTGTGTGTGTGTGTGTGTTTGTGTGTGTGTGAGAGAGAGAGAGAGAGAGAGAGAGAGAGAGAGAGAGACAGAGAGAGAGAGAGAGAGAGAGAGAAACAGAGAGGAGATAATGAAGAAAAAGTAGAGAAAGAAAGAAGAGAAAAGGTTTCCTTGCAGAGGCAGGATCCTTATTTCTACTTCAGGAAAGAAAATAAACCAGATACTTCCTTCCCTTAATCATCAACCCTATACCAGTTCTGATTGATATTTCAGAATCACTAGGAACATTTTGAATGGCAAACAAGATATAGGATGTTAAGAGTATTCCTGGCCTCTTTCTACTAGATACCACTAGCAAAACCCCCGCATTGTGATCTGATTGGGGGGTGGTTCAGATCCCCCCATGTTCAACCAAGTTGTGATAATCAAAATGCCTCCAGGCATTGCTACAGGTCCCCAGGCAGAGAAAGGCAGTAAAGGGTGAGGGAGTGCAAGCTCACCCTCGGTTGAACACCACTGGTTTAGATATATGATAGAAAGAAGGCAGTTGATGTCATACAGGGTCCTCCTCAAGGTCCACTTCAGTAAGAAAAGATCTACAATCTGTGAAGCTTTCATCTGAGATGCAGGGAAGATTGCCTCTCACTCACTCATTGCTACAAAACAGATACCAGCAGTAGATTAGGGAGGGACAGCATCACAAGTCTGCATGAGCAACACCCATGCAAAAAGGGCTTCACCCAAACCAGCAGGAAGCCCAAAGTCTAGATAGTGTCTTCTCAGCACAAACCATTGCTGAAGGAGGGAAGACAGGGCAGGACAGGGACAGGCCTGCAGGAGCCTGAGGCTGACCAAACCGCTTTGAGCAAGTGAACTATTGCTAGGAGTTTGTCTTTAAGAAATAATCAGAGATATACACATGGATTTGTGTATAAAGCTTTTAATCTCAGCATTTGTAATAGTAAAAAACTGGAATCCCAGACATGGAACAAAGTTGAAGTGGTAAATTTATATGATTGAATATTTTGAATTCATTTGTTTTCAAAATATTGTGTATGGAAAAATTCAATATGCTTTAATGCTTTTAAAAACCAATAGGAAAATCTGCTGACAGTAGAATCTCTATTTTGTAATATATATTTTATATGTGCATAGGAAAAAACTTTAATTAGGTCAAAATAACCATAGTAGTAATCTCTAGAATGGCATTAATAGCTATTTTGACTCTGTTCTGTGCTGGCTCCAAGCCTCACGTATTCTGACTATTGGGGACACGGTATCATATATGGATCTGCCAGTGGATAAGCATATATACTCATCTTCAGATCCCACTGGGCAAGGGTTGCTATGTGAGGAGTAGGCATCCTTGCATTTCCAGGTCACAGACTCCGCCCATTCAGGAAGCTACTAGAGAAGCAGACCCTTCATGGGTTCCCTGGAGCCAGTGGTCTTTCCTTGTCAATTGGTGTCAAGCATGGGGGTTCTCTGGTCTTTAGCAAAGGTGGTGATGGCCAAGGACTTATGGACACGGAAACGGTGTGAACTGGGGAGTAAAGCTAATTGACCTGAACAGAGGTAGTTGATAAAAAAGTCCTGATTCAGCCTTTCCTGTGCCACCCAAATCTACTTGCACATTTTTACAGTATCTGGATCATGCCTGAGAACAAGACGTCCATCCTACTGTCGTAAGAAAGAAGATGCAAGTCCATGAGAACAGTATGAGTTTTCACTTGAGCCACTCCAGCCTAAAAGCAAAGCAAGCAGTCATCACAGGTGGGATCCAGTGGATCTGGCGTGGTGCATAAACTGGGCCAGGTGCACTGGCCCTTCCCCAGAGCTTTAGTTGGGACCTTCCGTGGCCAAACTCACCTTTGTTCTGCTGATAATTAGGTCACCCTGGACAAGGGTGACCATCAAATTGTGGACTTAATTATTCACAAAATGGCATGTGTTAGAGTGAAGGAGGGAGGAAGTTGGGCAGGTGATGCCAGTAAAGGATGAATAAAAAATAAAAACTGTCCATCTGACCAGAAACAGGTGAATCTGAGCTGTGCAAGGGGTGGACTTTAGTAGATATTGTCGATGTCCTTCCCAAGACTTCTTTACCTGCTGGTGCACACATTCGCCAGCTGTTATTAGTGCTAAGTCATTCTCCAATGTCCATGAATCCACGTATACCCTTTCCTTGGACCACTTGTCCCTCCATACAAAGCGGATGCCCAAATCGATTTTTGACAGGGCTGCTAAAGACACACCATAAGGAAAGGATAGTCTATTCAATAAATGATATTGGGAAAACTGGATATCCACATGTAGAATAATGAAATTAGATCCTTATCTCACAACATGTACAAAAATCAACTCAAAATGGATTACAGACTCAAATGTAAGACCTGAAATTGTAAAACCAGTAGAAGTATTAGATATGATCCCAAAAGCACAAGCAACAAAAGCAAAACAGACAAATGAGATTGCATCAAACTAAAAATCTTCTGCACAACCAAGGAAACAGTCAAGAGTGCACAATCTATGGAATGGGAGAAAATATTTAAAAACTATACATCTGATGAGGGGTTAATATACAATTATATAAGGAACTCAAATAACTTAACAGCAACAAAACAAATATCCAATTTAAACATGGGCAAAGGACCTAATAGACATTTTTCAAAAGAAGACATACAAATGACCAACAGGTATACTTAAAAATGCTTAACATCACTAATCATTAGGGAAGTGCAAATTAAACCCATAATAAGATATAACCTTCCACGTATTAGAATGGCTACTATCAAAAGGATAAAGGATAATAGGTGTTGGTGAGGATGTGGGGAAAAGGAAACCCTAGTATACTGTTAATGGGAATGTAATTTAGTACTGCCATTATGGAAAACAGTATGGAAGTTTCTCCAAAAATTAAACATAGAACTACCATACAATCAAGCAAACCCACTACTGGCTATATATCCAAAGGAAATGAAATTAGTATGTTGAATAAATACCTGCACTCCTATGTTCATTGCAGCACTATTCACAGTAGCCAACATATGGAATCAGCCTAAGTGTCCATCAATGGATAAATGGATAAAGAAAATATCACACACACACAGTGGAATGCTATTCAGCTTTCCTTCTTTAAAGAAGGGAATTTTGTCATTTGCAACAGCATGGATGAATTGGGGGATATTATGCTAGTTGAAATAAGCCAGGCACAGAAAGACAAATATGGCACGATCTCACTCATATGCGGAATCTAAAAAGGTCAAACTCATAGAAGTGGAAAGCAGAATGGTTGTTACCAAGGGCTGGGGGCAGGGGAGGGGTATTGGAGGGAAGAACTTCCTGGTTCTGAAGTCCTTCTACTATGTCCATAGCCACCCCACCCCAAAAGCTCCCAATATTTTATAAGGAAATTGAGCAACCCAATTCCAAATCTAGTTATAAATACAATATGTTGTGAATTGAAGAAAACAGAATATTCAAAAATGTATATTCAATTTGATTGCAACAGTATGGGAAAGCCTGATGTTTTGGGGGGAAGTGAAAAGAATCTTTCAAAAATAGAGGTTGTTTTGTCAGAATTGTAATTAAAAGGATGCCTTTTTTCATTTAGTTATTCTCCTTAAAACTGCTTTTAAATTATTTTTACAAATTACCGAAAAATGAAAAAATGCAAAGATGCAGGAGAGCTTTCTTAAACATTTGCTTAGATGCTCAACAAATGGTCTTCTTCTCTGTTTTTCCCAGACAGAGCACATTCCTCAAGGACCAGGGGAACCACAGGACATAGTACCCTGCTGCCCAGGGCAGAAGATGGGAGAGTGCCCCAGGACATCCTCAGGATCATTTAGAGCCTGTGCTGGGAGGAACCACCTAGGGGGAGCTGTAAGGGTGCCCTGAAGACAGAGGCTGAGTCTGCCCCTAGCATGTGCCCAAAGAAAACAACTTCTTTTAGGCACAAAGTATAGAAAGAACTGTTCGTGCCATAATGGCCTCTTCAATGGGCCCACCCAGAAAAGACAAAATCAACCATCAGTGCAGATTTGATTCAGAGATTCAGAGACTGGCACTGCTCCTGCTGTCAGATGCTGAGTTCTGATAAAGGTGGGGCAAATGTGCCAGCATCTACAGATTTAGCCCACATAGGGGGTATGGGAAGGGACCTACCCAGCACAAACACCAGACAATTATAGTCCAAAGCAACCCAGCTCCCCTGGGCTCTGCAGAAAATGTAGAGACAGAAGGAAGGAGGCCAAACAGGGACCCACAAACCCCCACCCCACCCTTGACCCAAAGCTGAGCCTTCACCTAAGACACCACAAGTGGCCCCCCTCCCTCCATC